CAACCAAATAACTTCAAGATATCTAGCCCTCTTTGAACTTCATTTAAGCATCATAGGAATTAGAAATGTCAGAAAATGACTTTGCACTCACCGCTTTGATTAGGCGCTCAAGAGGCTGTTCAACAACACTTGATTTGCTTGGGATAGCTGTCACGGTATTAATATGAGTGGCATCTGGACCAGTGAACTCAAGCAGAGGTGAGGTTGATATACCAGGAGTCCCAATTGCAAGAGACTGATTTGCTGTTTGTGCAGCAATTATTGGTTGATGCCCAAAATTTCCAGCATTTGACAGAGAAGATGTACCGAGAATTGGTTTTTCAGTCTCCCCTGGCATAGGAGATGGAGCCAATGGAGTTGAAGGGGATGGGACAACAAAAGGTGAATTTGTAGATTGCAAAGGGGTTCCCGTTTTTGTGATAGATGAAAGCAGATTTTGCTGGTCAACCTGCGGAGATGAGTGTTGCTGCATCTGAGGAGATGCAGACTGTAGGATTTGGGACGAAGACATGGGAAACTGAGCTCCTGATTTCAGTTGTTGAAGGGGGTAACTTGAGCGTTGGCCTGCTGGGAGATGTTGCTGAAACACCCCTGGTTTAAGATTTATCCCCTGTCTCATTTTCACATCATTCACGTCATTCATCTGATGTGGCTGTTGCATTTGGTGTGTCTGCAACTGTGCAGTCATCTGCTGCTGCTTTGCTTGTTGCTGCAACTGCTGCTGCTGCTGCTGCTGTTGCAGCAACTGCTGCTTCTGCATCAATTGCTGCTGTATCTGACGCTGCTGAAATTGCTGTTTGAGCTGTTGTGTCTGTAAAAGTTGCTGGTCTTGCTGTTGCTTCAGATGCTGATGTTGAAGCATGCTGGAATTTGATTGAAGAGGATTAATATTTGGCTGCACAGGATTCACGCCACTTTGTGAAGATATGGAATTAATATTTGTTTGTTGGGAAGCACTTCCAGGATTTTGCTGTAATGATTGTAACGAGCTTAATCCACCCACTTGCCCTGAATCTATGCCAGAACCTTGCTGTGGCGGATTTAACAAATTTTGTTGTGCTGTTGAAACCCCAGATAAAGATGAGACCGAATTATGCTGCAAACTTGTCATACCACCCTGTTGGATTGTTTGAAAAGAACCTTGTAAGTTCATGGATTGAAGCTGCGGATTCACTTGATTTTCATGGGTTTGCCCTTGAGTTATATGGGATTGTGATTGCTGCATGGAGTGCATATGAGATGGAGGAAATTGTCCTTGCTGCAGGGGCTGCCTAGGCCTGTTCGTGTTCAAAAAATTAATGATCTGCTTCTCATAAGGACCCAACTTATCCTTGTAACTGGGGTGAATACTGTTTTTAGGAACTGATAAGAATGCTATAACTTTCTCCAAAAGTGTTCTAAATTGTTTCAACTTTTCGAGCTGCTCCGACTTTGGCTGCTGAGGAAGAGAATCATGCTGGAAAATGAATGAAAAGAATGATATCAAATTCAAGCTACAAACTACAGGTACATCATACCAGGTCATATGAAAAAGCATTATAAAGGTGGAATATAGGATATGGATTCATGGAGCTGATCTAAAATTAAGGTTTTGTTGAATCAAGTCATTCTGTCTGACAGTGTATTTTTATGTGTGTTTGTGTGTGTGGATAAATTCACATGCCTAGGCTTCAAAGAGATGCTTACAAGTTTCCCAGCATAAATACAGCAGCAGTAACTTACATGTTGCAATCTAGCATCAACTTTTTGGAACATTTCACTCAGTTCAGGCAAGTATTTCTCCTTCATGGACTTTATCTGCAAAAAATAAAGGCATTAATAAAAAAAAATGCTTCAGTTCTTAAGGTGCCGCTCTAATCAGAGAAGATTTTTGTTTACACGTGCACAGTTAACAGACAGAACATAATGCAGTTCATACCCAATGAAGGCAGGATTCACTGCAGTTAATATTTTCAGCTTATTATAGTCAATGCACACAGATCAAGGCCCAAATGAAATTGATTTTTATCATGCCAATTAATTGATTGCTCTATCGTCTGCTCTGTTTCTCACTCAAGGCTAAATCAGGTTCTACCACAAGAGGATGTTCCAGAAGGTTCTACTTAATTCAAATGTGTCTTGCACAAATAATTCAAAATTACCTAAGGCATCCACTAAATCATTCTCATCAAAGCACATGACTAGGAAAAGTCAATAAATAGTACTTCCACAAATCCTTTGCATCCCTCCAATAGAGTGGAGTTTGCAAGTTTTAACACCCCTTTAAATAGAGTCTCAGTCAATGCAAATAAAAAGTATTGGCTGGCTAAATTGGACTACGCATAATTCATGGCATGAAATATAAAACATGAAACATAGAAGTTCTGTGACAACTGAATTAACAACTAATGTTTAGAATACCACTGGAAGGACTCAAACAATTATCAAAATACAAAAGAAACCTGTTGTCTGCCTCATGAAGGTCAATAATCTGCACATTTCTTAACATTATTCAGAGTTCCCACGAAGTGATCAGATTAATACCTAATTTTGAGTTATTTCTTTCCATTATTCTTTCATTGTGAATACAATGAAAGAGTTTTGGATTCTTTTTACTTGGTCGTTTAATGTCTTTATAACACCAAACTGTGAGAATGATTTAATTCGATTTCTGATTAAAACTGTATTCCATAATTGATCTTTTCTCCTGTTGTTTTAAAATTTACAGCAATTCTTGAAGAAAACCTACCAATTTCCTGAAGCTCAGATTTATTCCCACCAAAGCTTGAAATCACATTTAAGTTTTCTACCTAGATTCTATATCAAAAATGAAAGTCACCCATTGAGCAGCATGGACGCCAACTGACCTTCTGATAGATCTCATCTTGCCAATCACCTGCATTTGCACTTCCAGTCTGAGCTGTAGAATCCAAAGATGCTACAAAAATTACACAGGGAGCAACTTTATGTGAAACCAGAGAGAACGCAATGTTGGAAATTATCCTATGAATGCCCATATATGCCCAAAAAAGTATAGATACAAAATAAAAATGCATCTAAAAAGAATCAAAAGAAAACAATTTGCAAAAATAAACTACTTCATTATTCATAAGGTATCACCAAATTATTATACTGCATAGAGAAACAGATTTAACAGAAAACTTCTTTAAGAACACCCAGGAACATGACAAATATCTACCATGGTCAAAATGAATACAAGAAAATGACAAATGACTATTCCCATATGCAGGTCAAAGAATAAGGTTCCATACTAATTTCAGCAACAAATGATGTAGAAAGTAATTATGCATAGGTGGCAAAAGAAAATATAATGATACCCATTAATTAGAATGCATCTTGATAATGCCAAAAAGAAGTTACAGATTCAAGACCATGATGAATGTCAAATGCTGGAAGTTTAAATAGGATCATGAATTCATAAGATGATCAAAATCAGTAGCAAAAGGACTAGGAGAATTAAATAGCACAGCAACATACAAGTTGAAGTCTCTGGAAGAGCTCTTTGTGATTGATATAACTGCTTCTGCTGATCCAGGACATTCTGAGGTTGAAGCACAGATCCTGATGCTTGAAGCCTTTGTTGAATATCTCGCTGTAGTGAATTAGGTGCCTGTTGCAAACCCAACTGCTGTTGCAACTGAGCAGGTTGTGACTGAATTTGCGGCATTATTTGCTGTTGTGGCTGCGGCTGTGATTGCTGACCATGAGAAGTTAACAGGCTTGGTGCAGCCTGCTGTGTTTGTTGCTGCAGCGGAACCTTGGCTTGTGGTAGCATGTGTACTGAGTGCTGATTGGTTTGAATGCTTGAGTTGCCAGATTGACCTGCAAGTAACTGCTGTTGTTGCTGTGGCTGTATCAATCCCGAGACATTACTTTGAGGACCCAACTGTTGCTGATGTATAGTAGCAAGGTTGTTGTGTTGATTCATTAATTGCTGCTGCTGCTGTTGTTGCTGCTGCTGTTGCTGCTGCTGAAGGTTAGGAAGATTATTCTGCTGGTTAAGTAATCTCTGTTGCTGCTGTTGCTGCATATCAGCCATACTTTGTTGGGCAATCAACTGATTTGGCTGCATGCCTGTAGCACTTGTCTGTTGGCCCATCAATTGTGGCTGCTGCTGTGGCTGTGGGGGTATTATTGACTGCTGCGTCATTGGTGTTGATTGTTGATGAATACCAGTCGTTTGCTGCGGCTGCTGTTGCCTAAGAACTGATTGTGGATGCTGCTGAAGCATGGATTGTGCTGGCTGCTGTACAGAATTTTGCTGATTTTGTTGAAAACCAGAGAGAGGAGCTGATGGCATTACAGAAGGCTGCATAACAGATGAAGTCTGCATCCCAGCTTGCTGAGACGATTGCAGTTGATTAGGCTGTAATAAATTCTGCTGTTGCTGCTGTTGCTGTAAGTGAGATGATACGAGTGAATGTGAGAGATTTCCTTGCTGTAACTTCTGCTTCAGAAGTTGTTGTTGCAACTGCTGCTGGTAGAGATATTGCTGATTCTGCGACTGCTGCTGCTGCTGAGGAAGAACTTGCTGTCTTCCCTGAATTTGCCTCTGAGAATTAGCAAACATATTTGAGGATACCCCTTGTCCTAATGAACTTCCCCCTGCATTCTGTGTGATGCCAGATACACTATGGATGTTGGTGTTCTGGCCAACAGCATTTGTAATAGTTGTCTGAGATAAACCAGACACAGGAGGCATTGTCGACTGTAGGCCAGCCGAAACCTGAATTCCAGATGCTATGTTATTCTGAATAATCTGTTGCCGCGTCTGAGATTGATTAGCTGGCAGTGACATAGGAATTGATTGCCCTTGATTGTGAACTGGGGGTTGCATGCCTTGAGATGCTATTAGATAATTAGGGGATGAAGGAATCAAAGAGGTAATGAATGAGGCACAAATACTAAATCAAATTAGCATGATAAAAGCAGCCATGACTTTTATAGGAATGGAGACATGAAACTTTTAGTCATTGGACATACCTGGATCTGGAGGTTTGTTGCTATTGCTGGCAGAGGCAGATGGCATCGAATTGGATAGAGTATTTTGAGATTTATTCTCCATTGTAAGCATCTTCAGAGATATCTTGCGTAGATAATCTGCCTGAAATAGGATATCAAGATAATCCAAATAATATCTTGAAAGTATCTTCTTTGAAAAAACCAAATATTATTAGACAAAAAAGGAAAAAAAGTGCATTAACGGATTACTTGGGATCCTCCAAAACAGGGAAAGGATACAAAAAAGAGAAAAGAAGTACAATTTCAATATTAAGCCACAGTCTGGTTTCTTTTGAAAACAGACAAAGAAATATCCTTATGAAGTGATACCTCTTTAGCCCATAGAGAGTATGCAGGTCTCTTGTCTGATAGAGGCATTGGAGGTGAGAAATGGTTTATAAAGTGTTGATTTTTGGAGAAAAAATATAATTTTATTTCTCATTCTTTACATTGTTACACTTAAAACATTTATAGAATTACTAATCTATTAATCCGAAAATTCTTATTCTAATATAATTCTAATAATATGAAATTATTATTTTTATAGAATTCTAATTACATAATACTAATTAATTAAATAATTAATAATAAAATAATAAAATATGATATTCAACACCCTCTCTCAAATTGGTGCAGGTACATCACACATGCCCAACTTGCATATCAAGTTGCAAACTCGAGACGTACACACGTGAAAAAGTCAAAAAATGACCAGAAATGCTGGTTAGAGCGGCTTGCATGTAAAAGAAGCAGATCTGCGTCGGATCACGAAATTAGAGGCGGGCACGCGTAGAAGAACCGGGAAAAAGGACCAGAAAATGCTGGTCAAAGCGGCTCGCGCGCGAAAAAGGCCTGGTCGCGAAATCAGAGACGACCGCACGCAAATAAGCCAAAAAAGTACCAAAGAAGGTTGGTCGTAGTGGCTCGCGCGCGAAAGAAGTAAATCTGTCTGGCAAGGCAGCAACTCAATTCAGCTTAAAATGACTCAAAGTCGACTAAAAAAAAAAGCTTGAAGTCGGCTCAAAAACAGCTCGGGCTCGGCTCCTTCTCCGGACAGAACTGACTTGCCACGGCGCTGACATTCTTCTTCCGCCGCGGTGCTGATCAGTGGTTGTGCATATTTGGATCCGATTTGCAAAATCGAAAAACAATCGGATCAGACCTTCTGTTCTCCCCGATCTGGTCGAAGGCAGAACCAAAGCAAGCTAATTAGCAACTAGGAAGCTTCTGGAACCAGTATTTTCTGATCAGACACAGACGCAGATGCACCTGGAAGCTGAAGTCAGAAAATAGAAACAGTAGAAATCACGGATCAGAAGCTGTGCGAAGAGGCAGAGGTCGTATGTGAACCAGTTGCTGTGCAAGGGAGCCAGAGAAGAAAATACTGCAAACCAGAGGTTGTGCGCGAGAAAGCAGCGCGAACAGCTGAGTGCGGCCGGAGCAGAGAGATTGGGTAGGCCGGAGACGCTCACCGGAACAAGACGGCAGGCCACCAGTGGGGTTAGGACTCCGTTTGGTTAGGTGGTGAGACTATTCTAGGGTTTTGAAAGAAATCCTGAAATTAAAAATCCTAAAATACACTTATTTTTGCTCTGATACAATGTTAATTTTTGGAGAAAATATATAATTCTATTTTTCATTTTTTAGATTGTTACACTTAAAATATTTATAAAATTCCTAACCTATTAATAAAGAAATTCTTATTCTAATAAAATTCTAATAATATGATATTATTATTCTCATAAAATCCTAATTACATAATATTAAATAATTAACTAATAAAATAATAAAATATGGTATTCAACATAAAGAAAGGAAGAGATAAAGTTTCAAGGGTAAGAAGAGAAATTCAACTAACATAAAGAAAGCATCAATACTAGCTAGCCCAAAGCCTCTAGGCCACATCAAAATGGCAAAAAGAAGACTGTAGGACTCTACATTTCGATAACACATTACTCGCACATCTAAGGGCAAAGCAAAATTGGCTCTACAAGTTAGAAGCAAATCGTGTTTGTTGAGCCTGTTAAGGGTAAAATTCCGCAGAACAACTTTATACTTAGAGGTGGCATTAAATTCCATGAATACTTTGATGAAGACACCATTCTAATTGGAAGATTGTGCATTAGATAGAAAGAAGTAGTTGCAAGTGCAAAGAGTCAAGTAGTCCAATGTCCATATTGTATTTCAGGACAGTTAAAAATTGAAAAGCTCAAAATAGATCAAGAAATAAAAACATATCAATTGTTTCCCAACCACTTAGAATTTGAAGAAAAGACAGATTCCAAGATGCTTGACCACTCCTGATCATGAAAATTCCATGTCAACCACTCAATTTCTTGGCCACACTCCTAAGAATCTTAAATAGAGAAAGATATTACAACAGAATACTAAAAGACACACCTGCAAAAAAGTGACCCCCAACTCCCAGAGAAAAGAAAGCACCTTTCCAACACTCAAGATGCCCAAAAGCCCTACAGACGAGTCCCGAAAAGAAACGAGAGGAACAACCAACAGACTCCAAAAACCTTCTATCAATATGATCATCCATGATAATGCCCATTAAACTACTCTTGTTGAGGCTAATGCATACCCCCCCGCAAAACCTAGATAATCTCATACACCCAAAAGAATAAGCACATCAAATCATGTTGAAGTTGTAAGATAAAAGTGGAATTGGGTCATTAACAAAGTGGAGATGAGAAATCTCTACCCCTTCCTCCCCCACACTTAAGTCTCTTAATAACCCTCTCTTGGACTCCTAAAACTAAAGACATCAATGGATACTGTAAAGAAAAGGGGAAAAAGGCTCTCCTTGCCTCAACCCCACCAAAGATGATATCGACTCCTAGAATCGTATACACTTTGAAGTTACTTGTATCAAATGAATATGCAAATGAAATAGAGGTTGTTTAGAGTTATTTATAAGTTGCTTATGAGGACCCCATCCCCACTAACTTGTTTAGTAAATTTACAAAGATCTAACAAGTAGGTTTTTGTGAAGTACTTAAAGCAATTAACCACGCTTTGGCCATTATTAAATGTGCTGGTTGTCAATTAGCTTTTCTTTATCACTCAAACATTTATGTGAAAAATCAAAGTTGATTATTATATCTGTGTTAACTAGAATAACTTCACCACATATTCCTTATGATGATGGATATATGAAGAGGGTTTTTAAAGTTGATTGTTTCTATCTTTAGCATATCAGCTGAGTGGACAAACCAAAATCATATGTGAGAGAAACCTTAATTCTTGAAAGGATTGCAAGAATTAGACTGTATCTAGTGATATTGGATCTTGATTGTAAGTGATTGATTGGAGAACTGTTCAAACACTATAACATCTCAATTGAAGGATGTTCTATCATACATGAAGGCTATCATTATCACTCTCTTATAAGAAAGTGGATTACATCTTCATAAAGTTTCTCTCTTTACTCCCGGATGTGTCGAAGGAAATAACAAAAGTTTGGTCAATGCATATGGCTCAGCAGTTAAAGTTCTTAAAGACTGCACCCATAAGCTTAACCATCTTTGATGCAAGTAATAAAATTGCCAGTATTTGCATGATTACAGTGATTCAGTGACCATCATCTACCAAGACCAATCTCTTCCTATGGAGCAAGATGATGTCATTATCATTGACCTCCTAACTAATAAAGAAAGTTAGAAGATGAGATAATTGAAAAATTTGTGAACGCTGGTGTGATTCCCATTGAACAAATTGGAGTCACCAAGTGATGACCTCTCCATTTAATAATAAGCAATAGTATCATTCAGGTTGAGATATTCTACTTAATTTAAAAATGAAAGAGGCATCTCCTGAAAAGACTACAGTAGCAACAAGCTCATTAAATAATTGCCTAATAACCCTGTGATTATGGTGGCAACAAGCGCATAACCTTGGTTGTTTCTATTCTTTGTGATTGTGGTTGTCACAAATTGTTATGATTATAGATTGAATTAGTCTTTCCTTCAATTTTTCTACTAAACTTTATTCCATTCTGCAACATTGAGAAAATTGTTTTAACTTGTATATTATAAATTATTAGGATTTAATTTTTTTGTTTTAAACTACCATTTTTGGTGACTTCAAATTCTCATAACTAAAAAAAACTCACTAGGCACGCTATAGCAAAATTCAATAAGTGGTAAAATCTACGTCCACATCAAACAAACAATACTTTTGCGTAATAAGTGCTTATTCTCTTAACATGTTTACTTACCCATTAACAATTACCCTCAAAATTTGTTGTCAAGACACAGTAAGTGCTTATTTTTGTAAAATAGACACTTCTATCCAAACATGTACTGTTCAGTTTTAAATCAACATCTAAGTGCTCTAAGTTCCTTATGAGTAATCCATTGGTTTGGAGAATGTTCGATTCCAGTTAAAAACAGCTTACAAACATCTGCTGCTTCAAGCACCTCACTTTTAGAAAACCCAAATCCCTCTTAATTTTAAATAAATCATGAATATTGAGCAGCATTAGATTAAATTAATATAATCTAGGTTGTGCCAAGACTACAAACATTTTCCATAAATTCTACAGCAAATTGACAGGTTCCACAATATACATGCATGCATAGAATATCTTTATGAATGTCCACATATGGGCATGCCAGAATTTTTACCTGATAATTCCAAAGTGCTAGTTAAAACAAAATAAGCATATTTGGCATCTTAATGCCAAACACGACAATTACGGAATGCAGCAGGTTAGAATTACCTGGCTTGTGGCAGCTGAATAGATCTTCTCCTCAAACCTAAAAGCAATTTTTTGGAGTTCGTTTATTCCCTCAGGACCAGAAAAAGGAAGGTGCCTCTTCAACGTTTCCATTCTATATACATGAACATCATGTTACTAAAATATTCAGAAATAGCTAAAAAATAAACTTCAAATTGCAAGTGCAATTATATAGTGAATAGCATGCATAGATAAAACTGAATCCAAATTCAAACTGTTTCCATTTTGCGTTCTCTATCTTCTCTATCAAGAATGAGAAGGGAACAAAATTGGGAATAGCTTGTTGATGCAGGAAGTGAAGGGGTATTTGGGGAACAGACTTTAGGGATGAAATTTCCAGGTTTACAGGAATCTAACTCTGGTTTGCGTGTAAATTAGAGAGAAATTTTATCTGGAATATTTGTATCGTTATGATTAGGAAACTAATAGATAATTCTCAAATTATCCGAATTAGAAGATAAAACAAATCAATCCAAATCAAAATCAAATCTGAAACAGATCTCCCTTGCTCTGACAGTAGAGTTAAAAGACTCTTAGCTAATACTGAAAATCAGTAAAAAAAAAATTTAATTACTAAATTAACCCTAAACCCTAATTTAACGTTAAAACAGTTTTTCTTAGCTATTTTCACGGTCTCCTGGGACAAATAGAAATGGAATCACCTTCTTTAATCTTTAGGGATAGAAAGAAAGAGGTAACACCATTTCAACATATCTATTATTGGATCAAGGCTAGAAAATTCAGATTCATTAACCTCCGTACTTTCTGGTCCAGGTCAAAAGTGATGCAAAGAAGGTAGTAACAAATAAGACCACTCTGCCACCAATCTGACATTTTTATTTAAAAACATTGTTGATACAAATCATCTGTAATACTTTTGGAGTTCTAGTTATCGATTATCATTCAATAATGTAAAATATCATTACCCAAGTACTGAAATATAATCATTTCCCAGAACAAAATACTGAAATATTATCACCAAAGGGACGAATTTTATGGAACAAACTTTAATAAAATACACCTGAGGAGACAACACTTACATCTTGTTGACTATTCTTTGCCGAGAATCGTGATGCAACTGAGCTCTCCAATCACCTGTGTCAGCAGCAGGTTCGGCCCCTGGTTGAGTGGGTCGCCAGTTATTGTTGTCCATCAAGTCTATTAACAGCCATAACATTAGGAACATCAAACCATCCGAGTGAAACTTCGGTATCCAACAAGTATACAAGTTATAAAGATGAAACAACAGACGAGAAAAAGAGATTGAAGGAAAATAAAAATGACATTAACTAAACACTAATGGGATGCAAACCAAGTAGAAGAGAATGAGTTTACAAGTTACTTAAAAAATTCTTATCATATTCCCAGATCCTCCGGTACATTAAGAGTATGACCCTTGAACAAAATCAAAAGACTTAAAACCAATGGTCTCTAAATTTGGGAAGGGGAACTCGAAGCATCAAAAGACCTCCTATTCTTCTCCTTCCAAATGACTTGAAAATAATCGGGCGAGGGAATGCCCAAACTTACACTTGAAATGAACATCAAAACTAGTTTGTGAGATTTTAGAAATCCGCCTCTTGTACAAAAAACCTCATTGGAGATCACAAACCGCATTTGTTTCATAAAATATACAAGAAAAAAATAAAAATTAAAGATATACATAGTAAAAATACCCTTTGATTGAAGAACTGACAAGGAATATCAAAACAAGCCTAGACCAAGCAGATAATCTTCTTTAAAAAACAGTTACAGCAAAAGGCCAAGCAAAACTTTGTCCATGCTTTTGGTCCAACCAACCAAATGATCAATTTGAATGAACTAGATAATCATTAAGAATTTTCAAACCTTCATACCTTCCCTAGTTAAAAAATGGAAGCCTATGACAAATACATCAATAAAGAGTTTGCTCAAGTTTTGAGAAACCTTTCGTCAATAATAACTTTAAATTCACCACTGATATTTGTTCTGAGGCTATGCATTAATGAACTCCTCCACAGGTTCAATCGCATTTGATTAACAATTCAACATTTCAAATGTCAAACTGTAACTGGAAATATTCTAAGATGAACCAATAAGATTGTAGCATTTCTTTTCGCGTTTCTGACAATTCATTTTGGACTTTTAACTGCCATCTCAGTTTAGCCCTCTTTTATCTCACTATACAAAATTGGAAGCAAACCTAACAGTCATCATAATACTCTTCTCCTACTTCAGTTCATAGTTAACTAAGAGAAGACATGGTCATTAACTTGGTGACAAATTACAACGGCACCACAATAATGCGAATCAAATATGATATTCTGCTAGCTTGTTCACAGCCAGTCTAACATTCATAAGCAAAATAAACTGTCCTCAGTCAGATATGTAAATCTGACAATTATGAGCAGACAAAAATTAATCTCTACGGGACTGAGAGCAAGCTTATAAAGCATTAAACCTGTTATCAGCCTAACTGAACCACAAAGTTAACATCCACTTGGTCCATCAAGTCAGTAAGACCATATCAAAATTTAATCTTCCAGAAGCAAAAAAAAACTAGATAGAACTTCAAGACTTTTTCAAGGTTTCCCGGCTCCTATAATTTTAATTTAATGGGTTACAGTTAATTAAAAAAAAAAAAAAAAGCTAACTCAGTTTTACTCACTAATTAGCAATTTGCAGTTGGCAACCTTCTATGTCAACCAGCAATCAAGCGAGCCGCTCAATCAAGTTAGATGCGGCCACCACCACTGTTCACTCCCACCCGTACACTAAACAAAAGGTGCAAATGCATATAAATTCCAAGTTCAATAACACAGCACAGCACAACACAACTACAACACAAGTCAACAGCAACAGACCAAACTTAAAATTTCAGTCAACGAATTAAAGAAAAGAAAAAGGTGATTGTGAGGCCAATTACAACAATCATGAATCATATAGCGTTAAATATTGAACAAATACCTCTGGTAGTGTAGAAAGCAAATAGTGACAGGAGCCTAGATCGGGCCTTCTCACTGGAGAAGAGAGGCTGAGAGGAGAACCAGAAGCAAGGAGGAGATTTTCAGATTTTTCAGACACCGAGAAGAAATCAGCTTTTCGATTTTCTTTGTTCGCAGCAATTAACGTTGGATGATTCTGCACCTGCTAGTTGGTGTGTGTAAATTAACCATTGAG